ATAAATATATATCTATAAATATATATTTATATATATATATATATATATATATAGAGAGAGAGAGAGAGAGAGGGAGAGAGAGAAATAATATATATATATATACATATTGCATTGTATACGATTTTGGGAGCTACAGAAAACCTACAGTGTTTTTGTTTCGTTTAAACGGATAAATAATTGTACAAGGAAAGAAGTATTATTAAAAGTTTCATCGTGATCATCAGATTTGAAAGAGGAATTGAAAAGAAAATAGTAGAAGATTTTGGATAGTTTGTCGTAGCCGGTGTCGCGACTGGGAGTACGCGACGCCGCCGGCGCGATAAGCCGAAAAGAGTGCGGTAATCGAGTGTGCGCGAAGTGCCGTGCCTCTTCTTTCCTCGTCACTGTGGGAAAATACAGCCGCTACGGTGGCTCAGCACGCAGAGTTCCCCGGCGCGGCCAGGGCGTTCATGGCGCAGCCAAGGGTACGTCTCTGCCTTTTCTTTTTTCCCCATTTTATCTTATATTACTCTTTTTGTTCTTCTTCTTATTCTTATTCTTCTTCTTCTTCTTCTTCATCTTGGATTTTGATCGAAAACGAGTTGTTTATTACATCTTTTCATTCAATTTGCATATGTCATTCATATTAGTGAGCCGACGGGGTTATCAGAACACGTGAAAGTGCATATATCAAAATTTGTTCTTTGTTTGTATCAGTGAATAACATTCAAGTTACGAGAACGTGAGATTCTTTTTGAGAATCTAATCAAATTCCAATAGAAATGTTTGTTTTTATCAAGTTGATTTGATTTTAGATTTGGTGATTGGTTAATAATGTGTGTGTATGTGTGTGTGCTTTTTAGGATTACGAGTGTATGTTCAATTTTGAAAGTTGTGGTAGTTTTGTTTAGTTGATTACTCGTGTTGTTCTCCAAGAGATCTTATGGATCATCTTACCGACGGACAGTGATTCGGATCGAGTGATGATCTCTCAACGTAGATGTGATGATCGATACTCTTTGAAAAAGTTCATCTCTTTAAATTAAAATTTATTGTTTATGTTTATTTCTTTTTTTTTTTTTGCTTAACTTTAGTATCTGATTTTTTTAAAAATGTATGTAAGAAATATTCGTGATCGTGTTTAAATTAAAATCTCAGACGGTGTTTATGTTTTTTTTTTTTTTGTCGAGATTCATTGATTCGCTAMGTTTGACAAGTAGAAATGCAAAGATTTTTTTGTGTGTAGTTTATTGAGAAAGATTATTCAATTATTAAATTGTAGATCAAAGTAGGAAGATAAAAACAGTGTCAACGAATACTTGAACTCGTGATTTTGTCGAGAAATAATAAATATACATGCTATAAGAACTCACACGTGTATACACGCATACACACACACACAATCGGGTATTTACTTATAAATTTACATCTATTTCGATACAATGTGATTATTTAATGTAAACAGAAAAAGAGTGTTTAAAACACATCGGTAGCTAGAAATATATTTTAACGCTTGAGTCTAATTAAAATTCAGTGTCACAATAAATCGAATTGAAAATGATCGTAGACAATATGAAATTTTTGTAAATTTTTTCACATAAAATTAGAAACAAGTTTGTATTTTATCCGTCGGTATAGTTTATTAAAATTGTACCATTGCTAATAACATTTTCGAAGAATTGAATGTTTATTATTAGAAATGAATTGATCATCAACACTGATACTTTCAATGAAGTTGAATAAAATGATTAACACAAATGTAGCTATTGTTTGGAATATTTCATCGTATAAAAAGTAACTTCCGTGTTTCGTTAGTTAGTGTCAAGTTTAGAAATTAGAATTAGAAATCGTAATAAGTGTATAGCAAAGAAAGAGATAAATAAAGTAAGAAGAAGAAGAAGAAGAAGAAGAAAGTAATAAGTGCGTGTAAAGATGGTCGTATAAATTGGTGGACCGTTTCATCGTTAACGATTCGCGAGCGTGTAATTTAACTTAGCGAGAAAAGGAACGAGAGAGTTGGGATTCGTTGAAACGTTTTGTTCAGATTCCATGTGAGAGATAGGAAGTTTCGAAGTTCGAGAACGAGTTCGCGACGTTCCCTTTTCTTTTTCTTTTTTTTTCAAATTTGCGTGTCAGGATTCTACACACAAGTGTGTGGGGCTCCTTGTCAAAGGATCTCTCTCTCTCTTTGCGGTCCAACACAGTTCGAGGAATTAATTAAGCGTGTCGACGACAAATATATTTTATTTTCTTAAACAGTTTCTACTCGTTTCTGGATAATTCTCATAATTACTGAGATTAACGGACACACTTCTTCGACTCTTCGTTAGGATTTCTTATTTTTTTGTTTGTTTGTTTGTTTGTTGATATTATTGCATAGCAGAACGTAGATACTTTTATTATTTAATTATTTGTTCATATTTTTTATTTTTTTTGATTTTGTCAACGTCATCATTTCGTTTATTCGTTCGTCACATATCATGTTAATTAACAAACACGTTAATTGTCAGTTAAGGTTGATTACTTTAGGAAACATTTTGTTAATAGTCTTTTATCAATTTTTTTTTTATTTTATTTGTCAAAATAAATAATATACATATATATATTTTTAATGTTATATTATATTATTTAATTATACTAAACGTTAACGTAAAGATAAAATAAAAGAAAAAAAATGTATTTCAATCGTTCAATGTTTAGTGCAAATCATTTCTTTCATCTTTCGTACTAACACATTTATCGAATGATTTGATTTGATGATAATTTCTCGATCATTGAGAATGGAAGAAAATTTGAGCAGAATTGAAATAGTTTTGGGGACATTTTTGACTGGTGAAACGAAAGAAAAAGTAACTTTACTCACGTAGTCAAGAAGTTTGAGTGCCGCGAGGCGAATAGGCTTGTAATTCGGTTTCAACGCTCGGCACTTAAGCGTCTCGTAAAATGCGAGTGCGTGAAAAAAAGGGGCTGATGAATTGCGCTATAACTACGATTCGTTCGCGACGGTGACGTATCATTCAAAAAAAACAAAAAAAAAACAAACAAAAAAATAAAATAAAATAAAGAACAGAAAATTTTTCCGTTCAAGTTTTATTTTTTTTTTTTTTATTTTGTTTTTTTCCATTTGATTTTCATTTTCTCTCGAGAGAAAATATTCCGACGATAGTTTCGAAACGATATGAAAATAAATAAAAATAAGATACAGTGATGATTATTATCGTTTTAATATTACAACGCGTTGTTGTAACCAAGTTAATATGAAAAATATTACAAATCTTGTGACGTACTTTCAATAATTTATATTTCCATATTTTTTTCTTCTTCTTCTTCTTCTTCTTGTGTAACTTTTGTGTTGTGTGTGTGTATGTATTTTAGTGTTGTTTTTGTATAAGTTTGAAAATACAGAGGAAGGATTTATGTAGGAAGAATCAGATGATCAGGATTCGTAAAGAAATTCATTTTCAAAAATGATGATGCGCTAGAAGAAGAGACGAATAATAATAATAATAATAATAGTAATAATAATAATAGAAAATAAAAAGAAAAAAACAAAAAAGGTTCGAGATCGTCGAGACGAATCTCAATGTGCGTCGGATTAAAAATTGTAATCGCGAATCGGGCGACGGTAGACAGGAGTTTTATAAGCGTGTTATACCGCAGCCTGTGATTATGTATTTATGGATATACATCAATCACTTTCGCTCTTCCAATTTCAAATTCCGTTATTCCGACGGCGTACGGTGGTCCGGTCTTCTGTCACGATCCGTCGCAATTCTCTCATCTTCTTATTTCTTTATCTTTTGCAAAAGTGAGATAGAAAGAAACAAGAAGATAGAAAAAGAAAAAAACAAATTAGAACAATCCAATAGACATTTTTCTAATAAAAAAGTCATTAATTTATTTTTTTTTTAACATTTTAATGGACCGCATGAATGTCTGCGTAGTCAAACGTTGCCCAGTGATATTTTGGAAAAATTCATTTAGAAAAACTGAAATTATATTCACGACAAAAATTAAGTACAATTAATTTAATTTTATATAATTTTGTTATAAATAAATGACAGTTAATAATGGTTGTTTCAATAGATCCAATTCAATAGAAACATTTATTTTTGAAAAACTCATTTTTGAACATTTTAATGGCCGCACGCATGGCTGCGTAGTCAAACGTCGCCAAAGTCGTTCAGTAATATTTGTGAACAATTAATTTAGAAAAACTGAAATTAAATTAACATAAAAAAAAAACAATAACAACAACAAATTTAATTGTATATAATTTTTAATATATAAAAAGTTACAAATAAATAACTTAACAATAACGGTTGTTCCAGCTATTACACACATGTTGTGTGAGTGTGGCCATTAAAGTGTTAATACTATTATTAAGTATATAATATATTATTGTTAACAGTATTATTCATTTATTATTCCTAGTTAATTGATAATTCAAATCTAACCGAGTGATATTTTATTTATTAATGAACACTTTAATGGCCGTACGCACGTCTACGTAGTCAAACGTCGTCAGAGTTCAGTCATATTTTTGAACAATTAATTTATAAAAATTGCAATTCAATTCATGACAAAAATTAACAACAAAACAACAAATGTAATTTTAGATAATTTTCAATATATAAAAAGTTATAAATAAATAACTTAATAATAGTTGTTCCAGCAATCACACACATCACATGTTGTGTGAGCGGTTATTCAAAGTGTTAATATCAAATAGTATGTCATCCTAATTATTATTGTTTGTTAAAAAATACACAAAATACAATGAAACAATTTTGATAATCCTAATAATTATTAAAAGTATCAAATCTTATGAATTTAATTGCAATTTCACGGTATGCATACATTCTAATCGTAATGTTTTAATGTTTTTCAAATGTCGTCATTAATCAGAGAGTAACGAATGCTTTAAAACTTTCTGTACCCTTTTTTTAATTTTTTTTTTTTTACAGACAAACATATATATATATATATAGGTCTCTTATGTTTACACATTTATACAGTTTCTCTCTCTCTCTCTCTCTCTCTCTTTGTGTGTTTCTAGTTAATGGTACAAGACCAAAAGGTAGATAAAATCATTTGGATCATTCTACGATGAAATCTTTGCTCTCGTAGTAACTCGTAAACGTGGGACCAGCATCGTTCAAAGAGAAAGAACCAAAGAGAAAAAGAAAGAAAGAAAGAGAGAGAGAGAGAGAGAGAGAGAGAAAATGATACTTTAAGTTCTCTTCGAAGTGCATAAAGATACTTCTCTAGCTTTCCCTCATCCTATTTTCGGCCTCTCCTTTCACTTTCGAATCGTAACGACGTTTAAAACACAACTTGGATGGTCAAACGATATTTTTTGTTTTGTTTTGTTTTGCTTTGTTTCTTCTTATTTTATTTGCAATAATGTTGAAGTTACTTATTCACTTATACATACGTAGTAAACGAATTCTTTAGATTAATTTATTTAAACGAAATTCTTTAAAGTCAAGTAAATCCAACGATAGCATCTATCCGTCTGTCTGTCTGTCTGTCTGTCTGTCTGTCTGTCTATCAACGTGTAAGAGTTAATTACACATGGCACGCATTAATTAGAAAAATCATTAGTGAGGTTCAGGGTTTTTTTTTCATGAAATCAGAATTGTATTAAGTTTGCGAAACGAACTAAATAACTTGTAAATAAACAACAATTCAATTGTATTACGTTGTCAAGTATAAAATGGGACAACAAATGCACATAATTGAATTGGATTTTCATACTTGTCCCCATTTTCATACTTGACAACCTGATAAATAAATTAGTGCATCGTTTAGTAATTCATTTTTTGAAGTGAAAACTTCTTTAGAATCAGCTGGGTGATTTGAAAATCGTGAAACGGAAGAACGTGAAACTGATGAAACAAAAATAAATAATTAATTAATTAATTAATTAAATTCAATATATAAATAATTCAGTGCAATAATATGTTTGTCCACTAATAATTCCGAAACTACTCAATTTAGTTGAATGAAATTAATTTTATTTCACGTGATTTTTTCCAACTTAGCACATAGCACAATTTTTATCGCGATTTTTGTTTTATTTATTATTATTTTTCATTACTAATTGAAAGATTTTTATTTAGAGCTTATCTAGGTTCTTTAAGGTTTTTTCAATAGATGGCGTTGTATTACAATTCAATTGTTTCGAAGGCTTGGTTTTTTTGAAGGTTTCTGTTTTATTTGATGAATAATCCTATCGTTAATAAAAATTTGTTGATCTTTTTATTAGAAGAAGAAGAAGAAGAAAAAAAAGAAAGAACAAAAATGTATTTTTGTTTTTGTTTGAAATGTTATCATTTAAGTAGTACTCGTGACTATACATTGTTAAGTTTATTATTATGTATGTCTATCTTTTTTGCCCCTTTTTTTTCGTACACTTACTTAGTGAGTCATTAATTACCGATATAATAACCTTTTAGTTTATAACGGTAATAATCATTAAAATGTATATGTAACTACTTAAACATATTTCTGATGGGAATAATTATTGACTCACCTTGTAGAAAACGTAACATTTAAACAATAACGAGGTAGAAAATGCTTAAATGTATAATTAGACACTACTGAAAAATCGTCATTGTTATTAATTATATATTTATTGATCATTTTTTCGTATTGATGGTTTGTTCTCCTTCGATTGCATTTTTAACGAAAGACAAGAAATAAGAAAGAAGATGAATTTTTTGATCTCGATCTGTTGTTAGTTTTTATTTATTTTTTTTTTATTTATGATTCATCATTATGTGACAAGATATAATAAGACTCATCGGATATTAGACAGTAAAGTTCAACAAAATTTGATGAAATGTAGTAAAACAATGTTATCTCGACAAATGTGAGATATTTTTGAGTGTTTCTGTCGAGTGTCAGGTTGGTTCTTTTAATAATTAAGGATTTTCTTAGAGCATCCGGCTTTCAGTTGGTAGTTGATCGTAGTTTGCTATGTCGGAACTCTCACGAACGTCGCGTTTGGATAAACACGAGCTTCTTCTCGGTATTTGTCTCAAAGTAAGAATATGAAAAAGAAGAAGAAGAAGAAGAAGAAGAAGAAGAAGAAGAAATAACCTGCCTCGAGCGTTTTCTATGAAAGAGTCACGCAATTAGTCTTAATAATTAGTTAGCTTCCGCATTTTATCGAGGAGACACGAGTGGAATGAATTTTTTGAATAAAAATCTGATCGATCTCGTTTTCCTTATTTATTTATTTATTTGTTTTTACGTTGTCAATGAAATGAAGAACAAAAAATATATATATAAATAAATGAAAACAAAGTATACGTCGGGAGTCATCGGCCGTGAAGTTGAATTTTACTAAAGCTATTTTTCCTATAGCTACTTTGACCGTTCCACTTACGCGTATCACCAATGGTGTGTTGTACGAGTACGGTATCCGGTTTTAGAACGCGTCTGCCCTTAGCTCGTACAACCAGCTGTCGTTCGGCTCACGAACTTTGTTGTATTGTGGAACTCTCGACTGTGTCCCATACTTGCTTTAAAGAAAAGATATGACCAGACAGATATGCACTTATTATTAGTAATTGTAATTGTAAATGTTGTAATAATCCGTACATTTATTGACGTTGAAATTGTTGTTGTTTACAGTACGACGATGGCGGGCTGCATGGGGCCTACCTCGAGGCAGGTGGTGGGGGTGGAGGAGCAGGGCTATACGATCCACACGGTAGTGCCCGCGGTGTACCGGGTCTACATCACAGCCCTCACCTCGGGGGTATGGGACCGGCCCACCCTCAGTATCCCCCGCCCCCGCTGCAGCCTCGGCGGTGCCCGATGTACACAAACGCGACAAGGACGCCATTTACGGGTAAGTGAAACTCATCAAATCTCATTTTGTGCATATAAAAATGTTCATAATCGATATTTGTGATAATATCGAATTCCCTAGGGATTTGCTTGGGTATAGAATAAAAATGAAAATATTCAATAATAACACACACATACACACACACATATCGATAATTCAAAGACTCCTCGAATCGCGTCATCGGAATTGTAGTTCGAACTTGTCTGTTCTTTTTCACACGCAATATGCTTTTTTATGACATATCGGAGGCCTCTGTGTAGAATAAAATTATCATATGGATAAACGCGACAACGACAACGACTACGACGACTACGACGACGACGACGACGATGACGATGAATATGATTGTGATGAAGACAACGATGTGTTTTTCTATCTTTCTCTTAACTTATTCATAATTCCATTAGTATGTGTTGTGCACATATTTATGTGTGTGAGAGAGAGAGAGAGAGAGAGAGAGAGAAAGAAGGTTATATTATACAACTTAGATAGGCGAACTTAAATATTATTTTTGTGAAATGTTTCGAACGACTTGCTGCTGCTGCTTGATTCTCGTAGTCGAGTCGATATGGTAGAAAAATCTGCATAATTCCGTAATGCATATTTCGAAGGCTTCGAGTTTATCGCACGACCTGGAAGCTTAACGACTGAGTTATACTCGTTGTTCGTTTCGAAATAATATAAATTAAACTAGTATCTATTTCGTTACTTACATTCAACGATATATATATATATATATATATATATTCGTCATTTTTCACTTTGAAAGATATCTATGCGTTCGTTACATATTTATTCTTTTTTTTGTAACAATTTTTTTTTGCAAGCTTACGAGACAGACACGGCGATTCGTTCAAATTCATTTTAATCGAAAAGTACAATGTGATTTTTGTCGCGTTGTTCATTTTTCAATTTGACTTTAACATTCCTGCGTTCGTTAACGTTGTCGCCACATTTATCGGCTGATTTATCGTAAGAAGCTTTTACAGTTCGTTGCTTGCACGTCGTCGATCGTACAATTTCATATTTTTCCTATAGCCTGATTTATCGTATGAAGCTTTTACGATCATTTTCACAGATAAATGTGTATATAGCATCATAGTCTTTCTATGCTTGACTACCAATCTACGATTAACTGTACATCCTTTAAACATAACTACAATTTCTATTTAACGTTAAATTTACTCTTAACTCGTGGAGAAATAATGATCATCTATTTACACATACACGTATTTAGATATTTTTCTTGCAAAGTTGAATGACGTATTATTAAATCATTGCTTGTAGAAGCTTCGTTATAAAATAAATGATAGAAAGTTTGTGTAAAGGATGAAATAGGCGCGTGCCTAGGCGTAGTAAAAATCATCTAGGATCTTTCTCTCTCTCCCTCTCGTAGTTGGTGATAGTGGTGGTAGTCGTGTTCACGTAGTGATTTATGGTTCTAAAAGATGGCCCGATTTCTGGACGTATCCTAGAACGGGAGCCTCATTATTTCGCGTAGCCTGTAATTTGTCCACACTGTGTGTATTTGTGTGTGTGTGTGTTGGGTCGCGCACGCCTCGAGCATCGCAACACGAGCTTTAAGATTTTGCGACTTTCTTGGAAGATTCATCTATTTTGTGTATAATAAATTGAAGTTTTTATTGAAATAGAAGTTCGAATAGAAAAAATAGTACACGTGAATGATCGAAAGGGACGAGCCGGATACCGAACTTGGTTTTACGTAAAACCAAGTAAGTAGGTACGTAACTGACAGGGAGAATCTGCCAATCATCGAGAAGACTCCGACTTCTTATGCAAGGAGTTCGATTGGCCGAGTCATCCGTGCGGATCGGATGTCTTTCTGCGTCTCACGCAAATCCTCCTGTAAATGTGTACGAGTGAAAGAGAAACAGATGAATTGATAGATAGTACGAGAGAAGACCTTCGTATGTAATTACGACCGTGGTAAATTTATTCCGTTTCGATGTTGAGAAGGCGAGACGTAACGTCTTTCGAACGATCGATTATTCGCCATTTAAAATTCCAATCGATTTTCGATGGTTCTTCTCTCTCTCTCTCTTTTTTCTTAACTTCAAGATAAAAGAAATTGTCGAAAATCAAAGTCCAATATTATTTCATTTTTCCTTTTTGTATTATCATAACCAAAAAAATGTATTATTTTGAAAAAGATGTAAGCAGCAACATTCGATAACCGGTATCGGCAGTTCGGTATATTCTTATCGCATTTTATCGTCAACACTTCGAAGTCCGTTGTTTTCACATTAATCATCGATTAAAATCAAAATGCACGAAAGTACAAATGCGATATGCAAAACGCACGTATTTTTTTTTTTTTTTNTTTTTTTTTTTTTTATTGGATTGTTCGAAAAGTAATTTCATGTTTTCTTTTGTAAAAATGAAGACAATTTTTGTTTCGAGATTAAACCATAAGTCTTTCAAGTGGGTATAAACAGTTTACAGACCTCTCACTGATCACACGTTTTGCATCAACTAATGGCCTTTATTGTGGTTAGGAAAAAATGAAATTAATTTCCCAAACAATTCAATAATTTCTTTATCATCATCATCTTTTGTCGTTGGTAATATTGATAAAAGGAATATAGAATATTAGAGTTAGGTCGAGAGTTTAGAAATGAAGCCGTGGATGAGCCGTAAATGTCGGTGGTGGGTGCGTAGTAAATCATAAAGCAGCCGATGGCCGCGTGCAAAAAGAGCCACGAAAGAGGAACGAAGCAAGGATTGAGCGAGAAAGAGATAGAGATAGAAAGAGAGAGAGAAAGAGAGAGAGGCGTCGCGCATCGAGGGCGGAAACCGCAAAACCGCAAACATCCCCCGTTGAACGGGCCGCACCGGCCAATCATATCATTACCTTCTGCGGTTCCGTCATTCTGACACCTCGTTTCGACTCGTCATTTGTCATCGACGTCGCACTTTGTTGTCCCTCGACCGCTTAGGAAAACGTGCACTCGAAGCGCACGACCATTTACTCACTCTCTCTCTCTCTCTTTCTCTCTCATGAGACAAACCGCGTGCGGCTTTGCTTTCCGTAACTCCTTCGTGTAATCATTGACGTTCGAACCGATCATTTGTAATAACTCGATTTCATTCTCTTTTATTTCATTTTATTTTATTTGAAAGACCGTTATTCTTTGCATATTATCATCTTTATCTATTTCATTTTATTTTTAAATAAAACACTTGCCCTACAAAGACGTGCCACGCACGTCGCGATGCTTCTGCTTCAAAACTACGAGCGACGTGTACACCACGTTGATAGGCGTGCTCAACACGTAAATAGATAGATAATAAATAAAATCAATAGATTTATATTATTATTTATATTATTTTCATCATATCAAGCAATATTGTGTAAAATGGAAAATAATAGTAAAACTTAGTGATATTGTTTCGACAAGTGAAACATTGTAGTGCACGGCACTGCAACCGTGAAATTAAATCGTAGAGCAAGTGGTTAATATGCATCTTGGCGAAATAAATTTTCAATGTCTCTAACCCAATTAACATTTACCAAAAATAATATCAAATTTAAAGAGACACCCGTTGTATATTCGATACAAACGTTTCAAGTCAGAGATCAGTTAGTTTTCTTAGTAGAAAAAAATCAAGTGAAAAAATTCTGTTGTATTGGTCAAAGTTTACGGTGGTACTTTCTCTTTCTTTCTTTCTTTCTTTCCTTTTTTATTTATTTATTTCCTTCGAGAAAAGGATGAAGGGTGAAAAAGAAAGTTTTTTTTTTCTTTGTACTTCGATTCAGTCCCGTTCACACAGACGCTAGTCTTCTCTTTTAGAAGAGTTTGCAGCAGCAGTAACGTTAGCTACACGTCAATTTGTCGAAATTCGTTCCGTATCGTTTTATGTCCGCGAGTCGCGACCCGCTACCATGGGCACACAGAACACCTTCTACCGTCTTGCTACCAACACACCTTCTTAAATCATTCTCCAGCTTCAAATAATGATTGCAAAAATAAAATTACTAACAAGTAGGACATTGTATTTTAAACATCACAATTAAAAGTATACTAGTAATCTTAACTTTAAAATCTAGCCCAAGTGATTGGGTTGAAAAGTGTCGAGCTAAATATAGAAACAAATTTTCTTGTGGGTCATAGCATTTTGCAACCCTGACGCAACCCTGACAAAAACCTGACAAAACCCTGATGCCACCCTGATGCAAATCTGACGAAACCCTACAAAACCCTGAAAAACCTTGAGGAAACACTGACGAAACACTGACACAACCCTGACGCAATCCTGACGAAACCCTGACGAAACCCTTACGCAACTCTGACGAAACCCTTACGCAACTCTGACGAAACCCTGACGCAACCCTGACGAAACCCTGACGGTTGTTGTATGTGAACAACAAGATTGCTTTTTATTGGTACATTAGCGCAATTTTTGCTGCGGTAGTGGCGTTAATACGTAAGTACCGACTTATGTTAGACCACTTTCATATGTAACACATGATTATTATTTTAGGAAGAATCGTATCAGAACAATTTGGTAGAGTAATAATAATGGATATTAGAATTAGTTTGCACAAAGATGATACTGATTGGCAAAGTATAATATAAGGTAGATGAATCGTTTCTCTGTTACAAGCCGCCTCCGTACATAGTGTATATCTACCTGCTTTAAATCTCGAACAGGGAGCTGCTCGATTGCAACATAGGTGCACCGGTTAATCTTATCTTATCCGAAGATCCCTCTAATACCGTACCATGCTTCGTAGTAACTTGCTATACGAAGATACCTGAATACATAAATATACATACACATATAGATAGAAATTTAGGAAGCGTATTTTGTGCATGAATTAACGCATCGAATAAAAAAAAAAAAAAGAATTAAAGCACGTTGAACGCCACGTGAATTTTTAGAGAAATTCTTGTCAGGCCACAGGTATTACTTTGTATTGAAAAAATAGTTGAGTGTCAGTCACCTGTGACGGACGTGGCCTAAACGGAAAGTCTAATGTCAGTCACTAACGACTGACGTGGCGCTCAATGTGTTAGATATTTTTTATTTATAAATATATGTATTATATGAAGTTTATTAGTAAAAAGAGGATCCTCACTAACTGTTCTGTTGAATTTCGATAGTGTTTAGACTTAGTATTATCTCGAGGAGTTATCGCTGTTCTACGCTTATCGGTTAAACTCAAACGATTACGATAAGATCGTGTTGTGTGTGTGTGTGTGCGTTGGTGAATAAAAAAGAAAAAAAAAAAAAACTCGTAAATTCAAGTTTATTTTGATATATTTAATCGGGGAATGTGTGAAAGAAACATTTTACAAAATAATTGTACAATAATGAAGAAGATATAAAATGATACTTATAATAATTACAGATAGAAAAAAGAGAATGAACGAATAGTCGACCTATTCAATATAAAAGTCTTTAGATATTTTTTTTTTTCTTTTGAGATAAAAAAAAGATAAATTGTGTACATATATGCCTTTTTGAACGCTTCACGCTAAATTTTTCTTTTCTTGCGCTGACCCACCGTTTGTCGGAATTAATTGCGTCCTCGTAAGACTAACAAAGTTGTATCTACGAAAAAGGATGAAGAAAAAATGACAACTAAAACAACACATAGCAAATGGGGATGGGAAACATATCAATTTTTTTGTTTTTGTTTTTGAACTATCGTGATGATAATTATTAACAAATATATTTATTTATGATTACAGACATCCCTTGTTTCCGCTACTCGCATTGATATTTGAGAAATGCGAATTGGCGACGTGTACACCGCGTGAGCCCGGTGTTGCGGGAGGTGACGTTTGTTCGTCTGAAAGTTTCAACGAGGACATTGCAGTTTTTTCCAAACAGGTAAGCAACAAACAAACAACAACATTTTTGTTCAATATTTAGATCGATCGTAGTTTAGGTGTTGGTTCTAAAGTTCTATTCCCATGAAGGATCCCCTTCGAAGAGAACACGTTTGTACCTTTCCTTCCCCCCCCTCTCCCTTTGCTTCTCTCTTTCTCCATTTGTCTGTCTTCATTTAGCTAAGCAGAACTAAGAAGAGCTGACGAAGGTGGAGAGAAGTAGCTCCTCTCCCCCAAGGACACGCGTAGGTAACTCGAGAAGCCAAGGGAGAGAGAGAGAGAGTGAGAGAGAGAGAGAGAGCTCCGTAAGTCCCCGGTGAAACGATTTCGGGCCTTTTAAAAACGTACCACTCCTGGCCGTCTACATTCCTGAGCGCTCTCTCGCGTGTAAAGGTACCTTAGTACCCGACACAAAAATGTATTCCTTATATATTGCCACACACTGTGAAACCGGTATAGAGACGGTGCTGCTAAACGACGCCGCACTACGCGAAAGCAAACGAGACACGAAGAATGGAAACTTCAATTTAACAAACCGCTCGTTATGCCAATCTTTCTATTTCTATTTCTATTTCTATTTTATTATTTATTTCTTTCATTGCACCGAAATCGAATCGAGCGTGACGATACCTAGGTACTGTATTAAAAGCTTAACTTGTAACATGTTGGAGTCTATTTACGGTGTGGAAAGTTTCAATTGTATGCAACTGTTTGATTTAGAGAATTTTATATTAAATTCACGTGTTCGAAGTAATTTGAAAAATGTCAATTGATTGTTTTGTCATTAAACACGTTAAACGCCACGTCAGCCATCGATGACTGACATTAGACTTTCCATTAAGGCCATGTCAGTCACTTATGACTGACACGTACAACTATTTTTCAATATTAAGTAATGCCTGTGGCCTGATGAGAATTTCCCTCAAAAATTTGCGCGTTAATATTGTCGTGAAATCAAAATTGATGATAGAAGGTCCACGTGGGCTTGGTAAAATTCGTGAACAAACCCGTGTTACTAAATTTAGGAGTTCGGTAAACGCGGTAGCGATGGCTTTGAGCGGTCTTACGCAGAGATAACGATAAAAGTTAAGCCTCCCTAGCAATATGGGATAAGGTAAACGTGTATTACGTGTAGGTGTGTACGATGTATATACATATACTTACTTACATAGTTAAAGACATTGAACGTGCGCCTTTAATTCGCTAAAAATATCTCGGTGTAAGCCTTGGGAAAGTTTTCTAAGTGGATTAAATTTAACGCGTCATCAGGTATTGTTATTTCTTTTTTTTTTTTTGTTGTTGCTGTATTATTTCGTGGTAACATTGTTGTGTTGTTTTACGTGCAAATGAATTAGATAATGAAAGACGATTATAATATGCATTAAGTTTAGAATTGTCGTATCGTCGATAGATCGGTTTGTCCGGTTCGCCATTTCTATTATTTATCCGTGTCTAGTTGTGACATTATCAAGGCGAGTTGTTGCTGCAGTTCTTTGCTATTACGAAATTGACGTGACATTTGCATCTTAATAAAAGGTGTATATAGAATATAAACGTATTGATGGATACCTAAGGGATTTCTAAGTCTATCGTGAAAGAGAGAGAGAGAGTGTTATATTTAAACAAAAATATATATCACGTGTGATATCTGTGAGAATGAGTCAAATGCAAAAAATATCATGTGATTGATTTTTAAATCAATGATCAATGAGCATTGACTGAACTTTTCGTAGATTCGTGCATTGAGAAATTTCTTTGTAGCTCATTGATTCTCATCAATTGAACAAATTTTGTTTGTACATTCGTGCATTGATTGAATTTTACGTAGACCCATAAATTGAATTAAGAAACTAATGCATACTGTCTTGTATCTCATTCTCTCTCAGTCTCAATCCTATATGTTTGTCTGTTTCTCTCTTTTAGAAATAAGATTAGCGAATTCTTGAAAAGAATAGATAAAAGGATGACGCGAATAGAAAAAGGAAAAAAAAAAGTAAGTAGCTATAAGCAGAAGTATAAGTAGTAGTAATATAGTCAAAGAAACTTTATTAAGAGACGTTAGGAGATAAGCAGGTGACGGTTCTTTGCGGTGAACGTGTACAATGTTCTTCTCTCTCTCTCTCCCTCTCTCTCTCTTTCTCTCTTTCTCGGTTTTTTTTTATCCCCGATATTTCTACGGAGATAGCGCAAGCCGACACACAAAAGAGCCCTCACGCTGTGCACGGATTATGCGTTTTGCCCGATCGCTCAGTTATTCACTCGCTGGTTTCTAAACGCGTGCGGACGCACGCACGAACTTCATTTGCATCAAAGCACGCGCCTCTATCTCTATTATTCAGTCTGTTACTCTCTTTTCTATGTAAATTATCTATTTTATAGGTTTTTTTTTCTTTTTTTTTTATCTTCGATAAGTAACTTCAAGGTTTTCTATTTTAACCAAAATTAATCAAAAGATAAAATATTGTTGCAAATTGTGTATCAATCAGATTCAATTCTCTTATTTTAGATTTGATTTCTATAAACGAAAGGATTTCTTTGATATTAACAATTTTTTTTTTCGTGTTGCGCAAGTATTTATATTATTATTTAAAGTTTACAGAGTTAACTTATAGTAAGTTATAGTTAAGTTGATAAAAAATAAAACTTAATAATTTCCGAATGGCATCGACGTGAAGCTACTTAGCACTTACTCTAAAGTTGCATGGCACCAACGTGAAGCTACTTAGTACTTACTCAAAAGTTGTTGCATGGCACCAACGTGGAGCCATCGGACGTTATAGTATTAATTATTAAACGTTAACAATTGTATCAATCAGAATGAAAGAAATTAGGATTTATTTGAATGGTTTTTCTCGGGAATGAATATAGGTAGGTAATCTTTCATTCGTGCATCAGTGGTTGCTGGAAAGAGAGGAGGAAGAGTAAAAGGGATAGATGAAGGGATATAGACGAAGGGGGTAGGAGAGAGTGAAAGGAGAGGAAGGAGCTGCTCATTTTCTGCCATTGTAAATTGATCTATTCAGTGGGTCCAGGCCGACGGTATTATCCCCTCGCGTTTTGCCCGGGCCGCGTGCTGCCGCTCGTCTCTTTGCCGTATGGGGCCCTGAACCATCAACCAACCATCATACTACTCTCTTTTTCTAGTTTTTTTTTTTCTTTCTCTTTTCTTTTCTTCTCTTCTCTTCTCTTCTCTTCTCTTCTCTTTCTTTCTTTCTTTCTTTCACTCGCTCTGCTGGCAATGGCCCCCTTTTGGCCTTGCCTGAGAAGCGAGGACGCCGCGAGGACGACCCGCTGTGCCCACGTTGCGCTCATTGTCCTGCCCTCTGGCCTGGCCCTTTTTTTTCATACCGAACGAAGGAACCGACCCACTTTTCTGTGTTCCTTATACACACCATGCTTCGCTCTCGATTTCACACTGACGAGAAAAGAGCAAAGAACTCACCTTCCTCTCATTCTTCTCTTCTCTTCTCTTTGGTGGTCTCTTCAATTTGCACAATCTCAAAATGATATTATCAATTTCCTTATTTTTTTTTTTTTATGGTTTCTTTACATTTATAAAATTAATATTATTATGTTAAATAATATGTTTGAATATTTCTAGTGATTATTTTTATTGAATGAAAGAAAAACAAAAAAAAAGAACAAGAAATATAGGAACAAAGCATGAAATACAAAAATACAAAGGAATTCGTATTGGTGTCGAGAGCAGGTAGTAGTCTAGTCTTTCCGTTCGTGTTGTTCAGTTTAGAAAAGCACTGACTGAGAGAGCAACAGTAGGAAGAGAGAGAAAGAGAGAGAAAGAGAGAGATGACTACGACGAGGAGGAAGAGCTTCGGTCCCGGGGATTTATTGGCGCAATTGGAATGCACCTCCGAGAGCATTAAACCGTCGTAAAACGTTGGCCCTCGTGTCACTTCTCTAACGCGTGCGACTACGAGCCGACCAACACGAGTTCTGCATACTATTGCTACAGGATAGAATTCCAAATTATCTCGAGAAATATGGGCTACAACAATGACTATATACACTTTTATTACTATTGTTTCTTTTATGAAAAGGTTACCACAACGATATGTCACAACATTTTCTGAACAGAACACAAAAACAAATCCTAAATAGGGACGATGATTTATTATATTTTCATTTGGATCAAAGAGAATTCACATATTTTTTTTTTTCCAAACCTAACAACTGCTTTATTCTTTATTTATCCCTTTACAATTTTCTTTGTAATTGTGTAATTGTTCTTTTTTGTTTTTGTTTTGTTTTGTTATTTGCAACATATTAGAAATTTATTAATTGTTATTTAATTATACACTTTTTTTAGAATTGTATTTTTATTTTTATTTTTTTTTTGTTTGAACTAGTTTTGGTTTATATTTATTAATCCTTTTTGGACGTATTCAATTTGAACATGGGTGTCGTAGTGGTCAGCATTAATTTATATATATAAATATATATAAATTACGTGTCATGTTGTTTGTCCACAATGGACTCCTAAACTACTGAACCAATTTTAATCAAATTTTGCACACAGTGTGCAGTTTTATCCAACTTGAAAGATAGGATAATTTATATCTCAATTTATAATCGCAATTATTTGTTTATTAACAAAGAGTCATGATTACTTCTGTTAGTTCGATAAGATTCTAACAGAAGACGGTATGAAGATGATAACACCAAAGAACTTTTTCTTGACAGAGAAAGAAAAGGTAAAAGATTTCTTAGTCCTCTAAGTACGAGGGCTTCTATGGCCCTTAACTTCTACATAACACGAATAACGATAAAACATTTTGTCCTAAGTTATTTTCGAACGTGTGATAAAAGCAAATTCTCTTTTTACTAGAATAAAGAAACAACAACAACAAATGTATATGTAAAAAGGATATTTGTATATGTGTGATATCTGTATATGTAAAAGGAGTGAAGTGTGAATGTTGTTTGATGAAAAGAAAAAAAAAAATGATGAATAAATTGAATAGATTTGTATGAATAATGATT